TGGGGTGTAGAAGCATCATGAGCTAATCTAATCCAGAGAATAGCGATGATTCTCTTCTGTCACATTAAATAAGTGATGAAGTCAAATATGTTTTATCTCCTCAGTACTTCTTAATTTTCCATCCTTTATGCCCAGAAGTTAATGCTCTCACATCACTCATAAGCATTGATATTGTAGTCTCCTAATTTGTCTTCATGACCTCAACTTTAAAATTGCTATAATTTTGCCTGCTAACCCCAACTCCAATAGTTTCTTTAAGCTTGCTTTATCAGTGTAAATCTCATCAAATAATTGCCTTGACTTAATTAAAAACATGTAAACCTCCATTTGTTTTTGGAATAAACTTTATCTCCATACTGTTACTTAAAATGCCTGTCATGATCTGCCCCCATTCATCATCCTTATTTTCTATAGGACTCTGGTAACCTTTATTGTTCCCTGATTTACAGGCATTGTATATTTATCTTCACTGATCCACATTTGTATTCACCCCTCTTTAAAAGGAATAGAGCTCAAGACCAAACATAATTTCTCAGATTCTACAATGTTACCTCTTAATGGTAACTGTAACAAATCTGACATTTGCTTGGTGAAATTGGTCTTTCCCCTTTCTGGCTGCTCTATATGAAGCTGTTGTCCCATTTCTGAAGTATAAAATGTTTTAGTATGTCATCTGTTTAAAAGCCATTGCTCTAATTTAGTTTACTCTTAGTCACCTCAGAGAAGGATAGCTTAGCAACTTATGTAATGTGGGTCTAAAAATATCCACATAGCATCTCTCTATATATATTACACATAATTTGGATGGGAAGAAATTGTAATAAATAGGAGCAATATGGCATCTTCCAGAAATAAAAGGAAATAATTTACTTTAAAGTCATATAGTTCTTGAGAAATATTTGGCTCTATCATTTTCAGCTCTTTCTACTCCACCATAATAATAGCAATAGAAATTAGGGCAATTTGGACAACTATAAAGGACCAGATGAAAGCACTAAAATAAGTGTTACTCAAATTTTGATGTAGTGAAGAATGTGCTCTCTTGAATAGTTTTATTCATAAACCATAGTTCAGAGAAAAGAACTGCATATTTTACCTTTTCCAAATGCTCTATTGTTAATATCTGTCTGATTTACTTTTCATATGTGGAACATATAGTGTACCATGGTGAGATTTACAGAATTTAATCTTTTAATCTCTACTGTTTGTCACTTGCGGCCTCTGCTGAAGGTGGCACAAATCATTATTAATTTCATGGCAAAATCAAAAGGATCATCCATGTCATTATCGGATGCTATTGAGTCTGAGAGCTAGAAAATTCTCCTTGATTTGTTCAATGCAACAGCCCATTTGACCCCAGATACAATGTATTCATGAGTTTCTACTGCCTCTGAGTTTCTATTGCTGCTTATAGGAATTGCTGACTTTGTAGAAATTTGATCAAAACATCAAAGATTGCAGAGAAACTGTGTTCGTGCCCTTCAAACCATTGATGGAGTGCCTTAACCTCGCCTTCTCTTGATGCCTTGCATATGGTCATCTGTCTTCCTGACTACTACTTCATATGGCTTATTTGTAAATTCAAGCAAATGTGTTTCTGACTGGCACTGATACATCACTGATGCCAGCATATCAGAGAGGATGAAGCATAAGGAAGCATTTTTTGATTCAGATGGAAAATATTTCAGATTTATGAGGAAGTCCTGACAATAGCCGTTCCATGATATCTTCATATAATCAGTATCTCTCCATTCCTCTCTTTACCAAATTTTATGACTTCAAAACTTATTCAAAGGACTTATTTTCTTGCTGATCTCAAAGGTATAGTGGGTAGATGTGAAGCAAGAGCTGCTTGGCTGAACACCTTACCTCTGGCTTTTCACATACTCGATTTCTACTGCTTTCCAATGACCACTTACAGAGGCATTATGCGCAGAACACCTATTGATGTCCCACTGATATTGATGTGATTTTCCCTGGTGGATTGAGGGCAAGCCAGCATATAGTCATTAGTATGTAAAAGTTACGTATAATGGATAATAGAGGAAAATGAAATAGCAGAAGGGAATTTGCACAGGAAACAGAAGCAGTAAACAGTTTCAGTGAAAGATTTTCTTGGGTTATACAGCAAATGCAAAGGGGATTGAAAAAAGATGACTCTTACAGACTCAGAAAGAGTGGAGGGTGAAATGGTTTCATATTTTGAAGTATAATACGGTTTTATTTCAGCCACAGAAAGCCATTTAAAAATAATCTTATATAATATAGTTCTTATGTGGCATCTTTCACCTGAATGTGTATTTATGAATTCTTATGTTACTTTTCTGAGATGGTCAGCAATAGGGCAGTAATAGGATAAATCTAAGAAGACAGTGTTTTTTTTTCAGTACTTGGTTTTGAACCAAAGGTCTCAAACATGCTAGGCAAGCACTCTACCATTGAGCTGTATAACACCCAGCTTCCGGAAGAGGGTTTTACAAATTTATCTAAAGCCATATAATACCCAGGTCATGATGGAGCAAAGAAGAAAGTCACAGTGTTTGCAATAAGCATTTCCTTTTAAACCCATGCAATGCTATTAGCATTTTGAATGAAATGTTTTGCAATTGGAAAATCTCACAGTAAATATTTTCAAAAGACACCTCTTAACCAATCAAACTACTTAGTTCCACTTACCATCACAGAAGATCACTTGATATGTCTAGTTAAATTTTAAAACACCCAGGTAGATTTATTTACTAAACTACAATGTTTACTGGTATGAAAAAAGGAAGCGAGGTCTAATGCTAAAAGCATGTTTTAGGGAATTCATTTCATCATTAAAAAGTAAAAGAACCGTGAGCAATAAGCTTAATTATTAGAACCCATGAATGATGATAACAAATGGAAGTTAAAATTCTAATATTTTTAACTATTATAAACTACTTTCTACATTTATCCCCTTTTCAATTACTTTAATTTTTATGAATTTATTTATTTCTACTCCTAATCCTATTATGGGTATCATTTTAAGCATATTATCAGGTTAGTAAATGGAGATCTAAACAGATTAAATGATTCACTCAAGACAAAGTGCTAGTAAATAGGAGAGATTTAAAAATCTATGTTTATAACTGTTGTAGTATGTTACCTTACTATCCTGTCAAATTGATATTCTATATAAAATATCACTCCTTGAAATGACTAAAAACCATGCATTCATTAACAAAATGAAAAATAATCAAACACACCTCAGACTATAAAATAAAATTTGTGACATGGCCATCACATCATAATAAAATTTTTAAAAGACAGATTGAATCATAATTTAAACTTATTAACACACACTCTCATATTACCTGAATTAATTTGCTTTAGAGGTTATGTCTTGTATATAAGACATTATTTCTGTGTAGTAAACTGGACAGAAACAAACACATCTAACACTAAATTGATTTCAACATTCTAAAGTTGAGCAAGAACATTTTGAGGAGTCTTGATGGTACTGCAACATTTCAGATTACTCATTATTTTGAATATTTTATTTTTAAACACTTATTTACAAAGTTTGTGTGCATGGGTTGGGAACCTATGTCATGGAGTGTGTGTGGAGGTCCTCGGACAACTTGCAGGGTAATGTTCTCTACTTCCTTAAAATGGGTTCTGGGGATTGAACTCTGATATTTCAGCTTTCTAGCAACTGCCGTTTCAATGCTAAGCCATTTTCTAGTCCTCATCCTTTATTTTGAGTGATTTCATATTAAAGTCATATTGGAACTGCGATTCTTCTTGATCCTTTCATTCCCTCAAAAGTATTTCTCATTGCAGGTCATTTTAAATTAAATAAATATACAATCTGAGTATTCAATGAAACCTAATATAAAGAAAATAATTTTGATACAAGAAACCATTGTCCATGTTTACTGGAATAGGAATTGTTTGATGGCAATTTTTGAAGCAAGAATCATGGACATCAGCAGAGGCTATGTGCCTTGATTGCTGACACTCCAGTAACATCTTGCAAAAACTATCTGTTGTTTTCTTACCTCTTCCTGTTTCATGGCTCCTATAGAAACTGGTTATGTAAAAACTATCTGTTAATGCTTTAGAAAATTGGAACCAATCAAACTTGCTTTGTTTTTTACAAGTATATGAAAATCTAAATATCATTTTTAACCACTTCTCAGAATCATATTCTTTATATCTTAGTAAATAACCGTGCTTCAGTTGGGAAGTGGAATTTCAGGTTAAACTGAAAAGAAGTTGTTAGTGACATATCTAGATTGTTCTCTTTTTTAATCATGATATTTCATTCATCATTGGGACAAGGCTTTCAAAAAACACGTGTTTCTTAAATTATTTACATTTTAAACTGGCAGAACCATTCAAGCAAGGAAATTAACATTCAGTCAAAATAAAATGCCATCCAGAAAAATCAATACAATTTTCTATTAAGTGTGGGTGACTAATTAGAGTGACCAAAGAAGAACATTTTTTTCCTTAAAAGTGGTAAGAATGCACACAGTTACGCTCCAAAACTCAAGAACCACATACTTTTCAGCTTCTTGTGAAAATAAGGCTATCTGTTTTGGTTCTTATGAATTCTTGGGAAGACACTGCACTGAATTTTCTGAAAGCTCCCAAGTGCTTTAATGAAATTGCTACCTGAAAAACTGTGTAGCCATCTTACTGTGTACTTATAATTTAAGAAGCTATTGTAGATTAGTACTTATGACTGCTAATGAGAAAACCATAACAACCTTTTAATTGAAAGGAACATGGCTAACTACAGCAAGTGCAATCAATAAGACTGTCTTAGTAGTATAAATATTTCTTCTCAAAGTGTTCTTTCTACTCCAACAGCAGTATTTAAGGTTGGGAATGAAAAAAAAAGAACTAGGAATCCATTTGTTATTACAACACTTAATTATGCTACAAATCTGTGCATCTCAGCACTGAGAGTGAATTCTTCCAAACCAAACAATCTTCGGTTAAAAAGAAAACTCATATAAAGGACTTACCAATTACATAGGCTAGTAACAAGGCCAAAGTCACTGTGATTGCGGTAGCGCTCAAGGCTGTGCACTTCCAATTGCAGCATCTATACGGTTTGTTAAAAGTGAAGGCAGGTCGGGAAAAGGTGCTCCGAGGCAGCGGCCTGGGAGGTGGTGAGTAGACAGTATTGGATGTCAGTGGGTAGTTCTGACTGGCTGCACTGAAGATTGCAGAGGAACCAGATCCGTGTTTGAACAGGAAATGCCTAATGGAGAAAACCAGAGAAGTTCCCCTGTAAATACCAGAGCCAATTTCTATAAACCCCACAAACTCTACAAATTTCAAAGCATCATACTATGACAAATCTCACCAGACCTGGAAAGGCTAGACAAAAATTTCAGGTAATCCAGTGGCAAATGAATTGTCTTTGGTATTTTTTTTTCATTTCTTCTTCTCTTCCTCCCCATCTCTGCCACTCTGTCCCTTCCTCAATCCCTCCTTTCCTTGCTTTCTTGATTACTAGTAAATGGTCCAGTTCCATAGTTGATATTCATTATTCTTTTCTCATTCCTTAATCATTATTCTGAAGAGCTGACTGTGTTTTGCCATCAGATTTTGATAATTAGGGCATCCTAGATACCAGTGTTTGGCCTTTTCCTCACTACCAAACTTTAAAAACAAGACTTTTGGCAGATATTAATTAATCTTTTAATTTAAAATATCAAACATATGGCTCACTTGAAGCAAGCTATCCCATTCATTCACCAACAACCTTGTACAGTTCACATTTGAACATATCCATTTTTATCTGTTCAGCTCACCTCTTCAATTCTCTAGCTACTAGCTCGTGCTAGTTTTTGAAAGTTGTTGTACAATAAAAAAATTCTCCAAATATTTCATATTCCAACATTATTATTATATAGAGTTGATATTTTATAGTTTGTTTTCAATATAAAAATTGTATGTGAAAACATTCACTGTTAACATATACCATTGCTGGAATTTGACAAATGCCATTACTTGAGCAAAACAAACCTCTATCCAAATGTAGAACAGTCCCATAACTCCAGGAATGCCCTCATTTTTTTCTTAGCAAATTTCTACCTTGATTCGCAGAGACAAACTCAACTGTGCACTTTCTCACCATACATTTATTATGCCTGCTGTGGAACTTTATACATGTGGAGCAATGGTGTTATTATATTATATACCTACAGAGTGATCACATATTCCTCATTACTATTATAACTGGACCTTTCATAAATAGTGATACACTCATAAGTAAGGACTTGAGACAAACATATATATTTTGACCCTGTACTTTCCTACCCTTGTGAGGTGCTAAGTGCCATGTGTTCTACTACATACTCATTAATGCATTCATTCTTTCCTTGTATGGAACAGGCTATGCTATTTTCCTCACTGGGCTTTTAAGAATGGGAAGGCAAAAATAGGTGTAAAATGTTGTGCAAATTCACCCTGTAAGCATGTGACAGAGCTAGAATCAGCATACAGGTCATCCAGGCTTTAATGTCCTGAATCTTAACCACTATACTGTGCCCTCTATGGCAGTAAAATGCACTGCTAAACAAAGCACATTCTAGTGTTACATTTTAATGCACAGTATAAAACCTCTCAGTAAGTGAAAAGTCAACATCACCTTGCAATATGTGCCCAAATATAAAAGATTTATTTCTAGCTTCCACATTTAAAAGAAAAGAGGCATATACATTTAAAGAAAAAAAGTCCCAACAACTCTAATGTGCCAGGTGATGAAAAACACTGACAATAGAGAATTTTGCTTGAGTATCATGGAGGTTAACTGTTTTCTAAAGGGCTACGTTACTGAATGAAATTGAGATCCCTGCACCTTTCTAGAGGGCAATTGAACATTATATACTAAAATGTTGTAAATATACATATTATTTACATAACAATTATGCTTTTAGGAGTTGTCTTCAAGAAATGATGCCTATGACACTTTAAGAAGTCACTTATTACAATGATATCTATAATAGCTAAAATAACTTATACATATCCCTAATACTTGATATTTCATTAAGTGATTTTAAAAACTCATGATACATAATCATTGCAAGTTGAGCTGTAAACATTAGGAAAAGCATTCACACATAGTACTAAGGAAAAGAAATCAGGCCTCAAGAGGAGCAATAGGATATACTTTTTAAAAGGAGAAAAAAGCATAACATTCATGAATAAAATGGTAATTTGTGTGAAGTTTAGAATGTAGGGATATTTTATTAATGAAAAATGTTCTTGATCTAATATCAGTTTTATTACTAGGATTAGAAGATTTGTATCTGGTGAATTTACTAATCTTTCTATCTAGAGGGTCAGATACCAAGTTAGTTTCAATAAATGTATTATTGTGATCTTCATGTGCGTTTGAGGTTGGTACTATTATCCTACTTTCTAGATGACAAAATGAAGATACAGAGAATTTTGGTAAAATTTGATAACTGATAATTTTTCTATTACTAACAAGAGACAACATTTGAGTGTTGAGTTGTACCATTCATGGTTCTACTTCATAAAGTATTACATTACTTTGTACTTATAACAGGCTTATTATAATATCTATATGTCTCTTTTTATAGATGAGAACAGGAAACAAAGAGATGCAAAAACTGGTCCTTGGTCCCATTACTAATAATTGGTGATGCAAAATTTCCAAACTCCAGTATATTGGCTCCAGAGCCATTTCTATCAGACCATACACATACTAGGCTTATGTAGCTACTAAAAAAGTTCAGAAGAAGCACATTTTGTGCTGAACTTGGCATGGAGACATTTTTCTAAGCTTTTTATACTGTTCCCTTTTTGACTTAATGAAAATAATGAGAATGACACCTACAGAATCACAAAGTTTGAAGAAACTTTCTTATAATTCTAGCAGCCCAATGCCCTCATTTTCAATGAGAGTAGCTTCAACCTAAAGAATGATAGTGGTTTACTTAAGTAATAGGTAGTTAGTATTATAGACAAAGCTAGTATCAGACATTATTTATTTAATATATTTCCATGATATGATATTATCTGTTACCCTAATCTTCACTAGATAAGCATCATGTTCTAATAACTTATGCTAACTGACTCAAAATTAACAAATACTATCTGTTCAAACCACATTGCAAAATGTATGTGTATTCTATTGCATGTCTTTGTGCTGACTTGTTCTTTTGTTAACTTGGCACAAGCTGACGTCATCTGGTTGAGGAATTGCCTCTACCACACTGCTTGTAAACAAGTCTATGGGGATAGTTTCTTGATTAATGATTGATGTGGAAGTGCCTAGTCCACTATCAGATGTACCATCTGTGGGCAGGGTGTCCTAGATGGTATAAAAAAGCACAATGAGCATGCCAAGTGTATCAAGTAGTAAAGTCTTTTCCTCCATGGTTTCTCCTTAAGTTTTTCACTTAGGCCCCTAACTTGAGCTTCCGCAGTGATAAAAGTGTATGGTGAAAGTTGCATTTGATCATGATATCTTACCACAAAAACAGAAACCCTGAATAAGAAAGAAATTAGACCAGGTTGTGGGATATTGTTGTGATAGATTCTGGACGTGTGTTTTGAGGAGGATTGTGGTAGCATTTGAACTTTAGGGTGGAAAAGACATTGGATGCTTACAGCTCAGTGGGCTCTTCTGTGGGGTCCTGGAAGGTAAGAACATTGAGCAACACAGATAATAGAGGTCTGCCTTGTGAGGTTTCAGAGGGAAAAAAACTCTGTTTGGACCTTTCATGTGCGTTTTCAATTAATACTCTTTGATTCTGGTCTTCTGGAGCTGTGATTAGCAAGAGACTAGTACCACTACAGTGAAATCTTTGTTTTGTCGGGATAATAGATGCTTCTCAGCTGAGGCACAAGAATCTACTGTGATTAAGCAGAGACCAGCTCATTTCTCTGGGAAGTGTTTCCCCATGGTGAACAAACAGAAGCTGTGATGTAGAGGTGGCTATACTCTGTGCCGGGAACTAAACTTGGTATTTTGTAAATTTCCCAGGTCTTACTAGTTTTAGAGGAATGAGAGGTTTCTGGAGAGCAGCTGAGGTTTGGTACTATGAGAAACCATTTAATGTTGGATATTGCTCTACATTCTGTGAATAGGTTTTATTACTATTGGTTAATAAAGAAGCTGATTTGGCCAATAGCTAGTCAGAATAGATCCAGGCAGAATATCCAAGCAAAGATACAGGGCAGAGACCCACACTGGAGCACTGAACTGAGCTCCCAAGGTCCCAATGAGGAGCAGAAGGAGGGAGAAGATGAGCAAGGAAGTCAGGACCACGAGGGGTGCACCCACCCACTGAGACAGTGGAGCTGATCTATTGGGAGCTCACCAAGGCCAGCTGGACTGTGACTGAAAAAGCATGGGATAAAACTGGACTCTCTGAGCATGGCGAACAATGAGGGCTGATGAGAAGCCAAGGACAATGGCACGGGGTTTTGAACCTATGTAATGTGCTGGCTTTGTGGGAGACTAGCCAGTTTGGATGTTCACCTTCCTAGGAATGGACGGAGAGGGGAGGACCTAGGACTTTCCACAGGGCAGGGAACCCTGACTGCTCTTTGGACTGGAGAGGGAGGGGGAGAGGAGTGGGGGGAGGGGGAGAAGGGTGGGAGGAGGGGGAGAAGGGTGGGAGGGGGAGGGAAATGGGAGGCTGGGAGGAGGTGGAAACTTGTTTTTTTTGCCTTTTCTCAATAAAAAAATGGAAAAAAAAGAATTGAAAGCATATAAAAAAAAGATACAGGGAAGAAGAAGGCAGAGTCTGGGAGATGCCAGAAGCTGCCAGGGAAACAAAATGTGAGGTAGTAATCCATGAGCCTCATGGTAAAAATACAGAATAATAGAAATGGGATAATTTCCTGGGTGGTGGTGATGCATACTTTTAATCCCAGCACTTGGGAGGCAGAGACAGGTGGACCTTTGTGATTTTGAGGCACAACTGGTCTACAGAGCGAGTTTCAGGACACACTCCAAAGCTATAGAGAAACCCTGTCTCTAAAAACCAAAAAGGGTTAATTTAAGTTGTAAGAGATAGTTAATAGTAGGCCTGAGCTGATGTGTCAAATGGTTTGTTAATTAATATTAAGCCTTGGAGTGGTTATTCAGGAACTGGCAGATGAGACAGAAACCTCCAGTTGCAGCCATTGGTGAAGGTAAAGTCTCAGTTTTCGTGAAGATTCCAGCATATTAGAGATGCCAATACCATGTTGGACTACCAAGAACAGCAGCAGCCG